GGTGTGCTGAACAGTAGGCCCCTCTCACCAGCACGGGTCTGTTGAACAGCAGGCCCCTCTCACCAGCACGGGTGTGCTGAACAGTAGGCCCCTCAACACGGGTGTGCTGAACAGCAGGCCTCTCTCACCAACACGGGTGTGCTGAACAGTAGGCCCCTCAACAGCAGGCCCCTCTCACCAGCACGGGTGTGCTGAACAGCAGGCCCCTCAACACGGGTGTGCTGAACAGCAGGCCTCTCTCACCAGCACCGGTGTGCTGAACAGCAGGCCCCTCTCACCAACACGGATGTGATGAACAGCAGGCCCCTCTCACCAGCACGGGTGTGCTGAACAGCAGGCCCCTCAACACGTGTGAGCTGAACAGCAGGCCTCTCTCACCAGCACGGGTGTGCTGAACAGCAGGCCCCTCTCACCAGCACGGGTGTGCTGAAAAGCAGGCCCCTCTCACCAGCACGGGTGTGTTGAACAGCAGGCCTCTCTCACCAGCACGGGTGTGCTGAAAAGCAGGCCCCTCTCACCAGCACGGGTGTGTTGAACAGCAGGCCTCTCTCACCAGCAAGGGTGTGCTGAAAAGCAGGCCCCTCTCACCAGCACGGGTGTGTTGAACAGCAGGCCTCTCTCACCAGCAAGGGTGTGCTGAACAGCAGGCCCCTCAACACGGGTGTACTGAACAGCAGGCCTCTCTCACCAGCACGGGTGTGATGAACAGCAGGCCCCAAAACAGCAGGCCTCTCTCACCAGCACGGGTGTGATGAACAGCAGGCCTCTCTCACCAGCACGAGTGTGTTGAACAGCAAGCCCCTCTCAAGACAAAACAAGACAAAACTGGACAAAACAGGGCGCACCAACCGGCCGAGGCTGCCATCATCGGCGCCATCTTGCAATCGCCACAAGCAACTCTGAATCACTGCAAATGACAAGCACTCTGGGTTCTATTCGTGGCCACGAATCACAACATCAGCTGAACGTGTTGATATCCATTCTTCTTGGGCCTCCCATCGACGTGCACTTTGTATGTCTTGCTATCGTCGCGCGTCCCGACATCCGTGTAAATAAGGCCCTCCCTTATCGGACACCTCGTACGAAGGTTTAATACACTGTGTAATAAAAAACGTTTTTTTTTGTGTGTGTTCCTGGGTAGTAAGTGTTATTTTGAAATGTACCTATTTTCAATGAGAAAACGTGTGAACTTGTGTCATTCCGTCACGTAAAGTTCTGGTCACAAAAGCAACGTTTGTGGGGAATAATAGGCAGTTTCTATACTTTTTAGGCATAAGCAATTTTAAAAACAATAACGCTTAGTACCCAGGAACAAAAATCGTGTTCCGTAGTGATATCAGCACCGGAGAGACAAAGACAAGCTGGTCACACCACGAACAAAGATCCCCCGGGTAGTCTTAACAGACTGTAGGGGCAAGTGCTGTTAGCGAGCACCTATGAAGGCCGGCACGGCACACGAGGGGGTGGGTGGCCACCACCACGCCCGGCCGCCTTTGTCTCCCTAGCGGGGATGTGCACGCACGGCACCAGGTACTCATTTGAGGCTGAGGCGACCTAGGGGAGGCCCGGGACCTGTTCAGATAATCGTCACTGGTGGTGGCCGTGAGCGGGAATCGAACCCGGGTGGCCAGGTTCGTAGCGCAGCGTAGCGCTAACCGCTGCACCACCGCTCCCCACACCATGCAGGCACTCACACTAGGGCTGAACGATTTGGGGGAAAAATCTAATTGCGATTTTTCTGACAGATATTGCGATTGCGATTTGATTTGCGATTAAACTTCAGTTCAATATTCACTGTGTAATAGGTTTAAAACGTGATGGAGCATTACGACATGATACCATCAAAATATGAACTGCTCAGTATACATTCGAATGCAAGGATGAGAACTTAAAATATTTTAATTGCTTCCAACATGGATTTATTAAAAAAACATTTAATTGTAATAGAATAATCAAACATATAACAATTATTAAGTTAACTAAGTAAAGTTATAATAATACAAAATGAAACAATTCCAATAAGAGTAATAGGACTTTTAAAATCGCAAAAAAACATCGCAGCCTTTGCGATTTGCTAATCGCATTGTTTCAAATTGCGATTTGAAATCGATTAATCGTTCAGCCCTAACTCATACTCAGCACTTGGTCCGAATGTCTGCGAGGATAAACTGAGAATATTTGTTCATTGTATGGAAGGAAAAGATAAAGGTACAGCGCCCGCGACTGCTTGCTCTCACTACTGCTGGCAGAAGCGACTCGATTTAAACCTAAAACTATTTCTTTGTATTTTACCAGGTCAGGCCCACTGAGCTATATAGCTCTTTTTCAAACGCGACCTGGCCACAAATGATGGCTCAACGAGGGTGTTTGGTCAATCGTCTTGGAAGAGGTACACTCTACCCCAGAGACGCACGACCCGCTGAATCACTGCCGGACGAACCGGGGTATTTAAGAAACTTGCCCCAATGTTTTCACCGACTCTCTCACACACACACACATGTAATACATCCAGCCAGGAGGCACTGATATATGACTCAAAACCACGACCAGAAGCGTTAAAACAATGCCCAGAAGTCAGCTCGACCCATCATCAGCATCTCTCTCGGGTGCACACATCGTGTGAGGTCAACAGGTGGGGGTTTAGATGTTCAAGGGGTGACCCGTAACGCCATGGGAATGTGCCATCTCCACCACTCATGCAGAATCCCCCCAAATAAGAAATGAGCGCCCACCCCCCTTTTACCTGAACTGGGAAGCACTAACTCAAGCACGCACACCAAGCTCTTAAGGCTAATGGTTACTCCGACTATACAATCCGCAAAGCTATCACTCAAACCATGAAGAAGGGCCCTCTTGAGGAGCCTTTCAAAACCATCACTTAACCCTACATTGCGGGGATCACAAAAAATATCTCCAAAATTTTGAATAAACACAAGATCCAGGTCCGATTCAACACATTACATAAAATCCGTGATCTGGTTCCGTCTGTAAAAGATGTGATTCCGGACATACAGTACCCTGGTGTCTACAAACTAAGTTGCCTCTGTGGTAGTAGTTACATTGGAGAAACCAAACGCCATGTCTCGGACCGCATTCGTGAACACAAAGCAGACCTTAAACACGGTAGGATCAACACCTCGGCTGTGGCAGATCATTGTTATAATTCAGTAGGCTGACATGACATTGACTTCTCCGAGACAGAGGTTATTTGTAAGCCATCTGGCTACCATGAGAGATTCGTTCATGAGGCTATCCACATATACAAACACAGAGACAATTTCAACCGAGAAGATGGATTCTGGCTTAGCAATCATTGGAAGGATTTGATCAACCATTTCAGGTCTTAATTGATTGTTCACGCTTACAGTGGCTTTCAGACAGCATACATTAATTTTTCGTCTCCCCCTCCTCTTTTCAGAACATAGATGGACTCGTCCTTCTAAATAAACTGCCAAATCGCTGCGCGTGGCGCTGACGTTTTTTTTTTATAAATAAATAAATACACCGTTTATAAATAAATGCAAACCGCCACTTCTTTCAAATGTTTCTTGCCGTTGGTTTTCACACCTGATGATGACCGTTTGTGTTATGGTCGAAACGTCGTGAGAATTTTTATTGTTTTATATATATTTTATTATTTTATTGTTTCCCTTCAACGTGACTTTGCCGAAAGAGCTAAGAATAAGATGTTGTTGTTGTTGCCTTGGGGCAGTGCTAACAACGGTCTTTAGGTGAAAGATGCGCTGTGTGAGGAAAGGGCGCGCAGTCACACTGCGGACGTTTTGGGCCTGTACCACTGTCCAACAGTCCCATGTGGTTTTTGGGTAGAAAACAGATGGGATCGGTGAAGTTTGCCCTTTCAATGAATTGCGGATAAGAGGAGATCTTACTGCGCTAGAAATTACAGGGTGCTTCAAAGAAATGGTTAACACTTGGGAGAATTTGCAACAAAACCACGAGAAATGCGCTGCCTCCCGGCCTCTGGAGACCGCCTGGGAGAAGGTTCCAGGCACGCGTTGACGATGATGGCGAACAAGTGGAGACTCTTTGACTTTTTTGAAGCTATTAACATTACATTTGTTATCATGTTACAGTGTATTATCCGTTCTTTTATTCATTAAAGACGATAGTCCCATGTAAGTGTAAAAAAAAAGTAAGCACCCTGTATATTTGACATGCGGGACTACTGGCTCATTACCACTGTGATCTCTACATTGGGTCAAACTTAACATCTCTTAATGTTCGACGGCTTGTGCACCAGATCTTATTTATTCACGATGTTCTTACAAAAAAATCCGCAGACTACCTGCTGGATCTCCTCTCTGTTTCAAAGAACAAATTTGACCTCAGGTCTTCGCTCATTTACCAGCTTCACATTCCCTATTGCCGTACAAAAACTGGAGGGCCTTTGCTATTGAGCCCCCAGAGTCTGGAATGCTATTGCCAATAAACTGCAACTTGAATCGCTACCAATGAGATCTTCTCTCAAAACTGCTCTAGAGGAGTTGTACACCCCTAGCTGCCACTGCTATTCATTGGCGTAAAATAAAATAAAATGTTTCACTCCGGATGACGCTGCAAAGTATTATCTGTATTTTGATTTAGCGTGCTGATCTTCAGTTCAGTTCATTTTCTTTATTTTGGTATAGCTCTGTGAGCCATTCGGCTCTTGAATCGGGTGCAACCACAACAAACAAAAAAAACAAAAACACGAACAAGAAAACATCTTAATGTGACTATGTGACTGTGGAAACAGAAAATCCATGAAGAAAAACCAGCAAAATATTCCTGAAAAAAGCACCATACACCAACGCTGTGTGCAAAAAAAATCCCAGTGGGATGCAAGTCAAACAACAACAACAACAACCACAAGAAAACTTAGATTAAGGCCATCAGTCAAACTCCGTACTACAAAAAAACAAACATGTCACCAGACCTGGTGACTGAAAAGCTTTAGTTATTTCAAATCAATTAGTAACATTAAAACAAAACAATGACAGTTTTACATGCAACAACATTTATTTGAAACAACAAGGAGGTTCCACTCTTACCATAAAATTGAGTTACCCCCCCAGTTGGGTATGAAGGTCAACAATGCATTCCTGCCGATGCATAAACATAAAATGTATTTTGTAATAACTGGCCTTAACGTTAACATGGCCATGTAAAATCGCAGCATTTAAATCTAATAAAACATTGGTAGAAGCAAAAGCATTAAAGGCAAGTTGCTCATGCACTGTACATTTTAACAAAAGCAAGCAAGTATGATCATGATTGGGTTTCTGAAATGTATATTTTTACTGAACTAAGTGTCATTCATTTAAATAAACTCGGATTATAGCCAAATTAGTGATAATGTGGAACACTGTAAAAGCTGCGCATTGATCACAGTACATGACACCGATAATGGAAATTATAGAGACAAATTCTAGAAAATGGTACATTACTTTAACTTATTTCAAAAGAGCAATCTTGTTTTTAAAAAGGTCAAATTCTTTTTCCTTTGCAAATTGAAACCCAGAGCATGTTGAATATTACCAGTATGCCTGCATCTTGACATGCATTTGGACATAAATGGAAATAACTTTATGCATAAACATGTTATCATAGAATTATTATATAAGCAGAGGCAGTGACTTACCGAGGCCATGCATTAACTCCAACAGCAAACATTCAAAATGAGCAATTCCAAACCAAAACGTGCAAAGTACACAAGTGATTTAAGAGCAAAATCGCATCGACTCATGAAATAATTGTCTCATAAGTGTCTTCAATGAATCGGGATAACTCCTGGGTGTAGTTTATGAGGTACATTCATTTTCTTAAAACCCTGTTATTTCCATTAAAACATTTAGCCCATTTATAGCTCGTAATTGGCCAGATGGATCAGTGGCAAGAGGCAGTGGCTCATAATCTTAAGAACGAGAGTTCAAATCCTAGTCGGTTGGGGATTAACTTGACCCATTATCCCCCTGGGTCCAATAAAAGAAATACCATTTTTTTGGGAAGTCAACAGTGGTTGTCTTATGGATACTCACCCTTTCCATTCAGAACTTGGTGGCATTTACAGCACTGGCTCAGGGCTTTAAACATACGAGTACTTGCCTCAATACTCTGGTTCTATTCGGTAAAGTCACGTAGGTAAAAAATAAAACAAAAATCACGACGTTTCGGCCACAACACAAGCAGCCTGTTGTGGCCGAAACGTCGTGATTTTTGTTTTATTTTTTACCTACGTGACTTTACCGAATAGAACCAAAGAGTATGGATCCTTGCAGTCACGAAAGCTTCAAATCTAGTACTTGCCTCAATGCTCATTTGAGCAGAAAGTCAAACTTTTCTGACAGGTTGTAATGCAATTTCCGTTAGATATATGAAAACATAAAAACGGTAAAAAAATACCTAAAACTAGAAGCAATTTTTTGGCACTAACAATCCAATGATACAGTACCAAAAACTGGACTTCCTGGTGAATGGAGACCAGCTAACATGCTGAGGGTTGCTTTGCACTATTCCATATTTTAGTTTTGAAAGTTACTTTTTTCAATTTGCACTTGTAAACATTTTAGGGCTCCCCCCCCACCACCCGCCAGTATATTCAGGATACCCACCCATTGAGGACACTTATTAAAACAGCAACACAAACCACAGCTAAGCTATTTTTTTTGTTAAACTTGTTTTTTGTCATTATCGTAAATGAAACCATTTTGTTTGACCATCAGGCCACCAAACATAACGTTTATAATGACCAACATGAGCTATGTATTTTAAGTTTCGTTACAATTCCACATACATTTCTGAAATTCCGATTTTACCCATTATCCCCACTTAGAAATGTAAACAATAGAGCCCACGAAAACCAAAGCAGCTTGTACATACCTTCATAAAGCCATATTCCAACAAAAAAATCCACTTACAAGCAACGACCATTTGTGTAGTTTTCAATTACAATTTAAAGCTTCATCAAAATATTACAAGTCTCTAGTTGCGCCGCATTTGGTGTTGCCCGACGTTTCGTTCCAAGTACTAAGGGCTTCATCAGGAACTAGCATTCTACCGAACATACCAAACAACCGAAAAAAAATAGAGCTATTCTCTCAAGCTATATATTTTTTACAATAATTATTTTGCGTATGGACTGCAGCCACTATTTAAACATCAAAGAGCACCTCAGCACACGATGGTATATACCACTAGACCAAGGGACAAGACAAATGAACACCACTCGTTGCTGCAATGGCCCATCTGCACATGAAGTCACTTCTTTCTGGATCCTTCCCGGGCCAGCCTATCCGCAGCCTCATTACCTTTGTGTCCACTGTGAATTGAAAAATTTGATACTCCGACTGATGCTTCTGTTGTTGTGGAGTAACTCATGCAGCCAGCTATGGCTCTAGGAATTTTCGTGTTACATGTTATTTATGTAGCTTATTGTAAAAATTCGCTTACAGTCCCTATGATCACTGTTACGTTGCAATTATGGCTTTATTTTTTGGTGATTTCGAAAACGTTTTTTGGTTTGGACATGTTGGTTTTGTTGTAGTAAGTTTTCTTGTGGTTGTTGTTGTTTGACTTGCATCCCACTGGGATTTTTTGCACACAGCGTTGGTGTACGGTGCTTTTTTCAGGAATATTTTGCTGTTTTTTTTTCTGTGGATGTTCTGTTTGCACAGTCACACATAGTCACTTTAAGATGTTTTCCTTGTTCGTGTTTTTGTTTTTTTGTTTGTTGTGGTTGCACCCGATTCAAGAGCCGAATGGCTCACAGGGCTATACCAAAATAAATAAACTGAAAAAAAACACTGAAAATTACGGACTCATTCCTGAGCCGAGTGTTCGTTCGCGCTACTGTGTGCGTACATGTCCCGTCATCAGTAGAATTCGAGATTGATGCAACCTCGGGTATTTTGTACAACGTGTTGTGGGAAGGGGTGTCTTAGCCCCCATGTATGTACACACGTTGGGTGCGTCCGGACACACAACGGACAAGTCGCAGTGGGCCCTGTTGCAGCAGCTGCGTCCGGAACATAACCATGGAAAGCGCTGCGCGAGGCGAGACAATCCCTTCCCGGTGGCGCTCAGCTCACCTGCCCACCCGTCTGCTCGCCCTACCTGTATGCGTTGCATGTGTGTTGAACTTCTTTCGCACCGTACATTAGCCAACCATGCTAATCGGAGGCGCGGAAGAAGGACAACAGGACTCCACATCTACCCCCTCCCCTCCCGAAGCCTCCCTCCGGACCTCATTACGGAAACTCGGCTGCACGGGATAAATCATGTACGCGCACGGACAGCAGCAGCGTAACATCACACCGGAGTCCCTTAGCCCCCCCCTCCCCGTCACCTGCAATTATTATTTTTCTCACCTCGGCTCTTTCCGGCCGAATAAATTGCAGCGGCGAGGTCGTGCCCGGCTCTGTTTGTCACGAGCAGGGCGGCCGCGCTGGCGAGATGCGCTGCTGATGAAGGAGGCGAGCGGGGGAGTGGGGAGGGGAGAACGAATCTCTGTGCATTTTTCTTTAACGCGCAAGTGATCAACCAGCACCGCCACAACCACCACCATCAACGTCACCGCCACCAACACCGCCACCACCAACGCCGCCGTCACCACCGCCACTACCACCACCAACACCGCCACCACCGCCACCATCAACGCCACCGTCACCACCACCACCGCCACTACCGCCGGCTTACCGGAATCAAAGTTGTAACCGACAACTCAAAACGCAGCAGCCACTGTCTTGTAGCACGGTTGGCTGCGCACCTCAGACGAGCACGGATGGCTACGTGCGGTGTGTGAAAGAAGGTCAACATACATGTGTAGTATAATTAGGCTGTGTCCTAAATTGCCTGACATGAGTGGTGGTGGGTGGGTGGGGGGTTACTTAATTTACAATCATAAAAAAATGCACTGCTATGTTGTAATGGTTGGCTCACTGGTCTTGCAATCCAGATCGCTGGTTCGATCTGCCAGCCTCTGTATCCCCACCAGCAGTATGCATGGGTACACACCACAGTACGTAAAAGTAGACCAAAGAGCCTCTGTAATTTGATTTTCGAGCGGAGGCCCTTTTTGCCAGCAGTTGGGTGAGCAAGCAAATGCAGGGCTGCGCCTTTAGCCTCATGAGTAAAAAGAAAACCCGTGTGAAACGCGGTGAGAGTTTGAAAATCAATGCTCCAGTGACATCACTACATTTGTTATTTCGAAATCCTGGGAAGAGATGTTACAGGGAAATCACTCGAGCGCCTGTGTTCTACTGCGACACTACAGACTGTAACCTGAACGTCTCTGTCTTCTCACGAATGCCTGAGATACCGGCCTAGGTGTATATATAGTAGTGTATCTACAAAAGCGTTTTTTTATAGGCTGCATCTTCCCTAACATTATGCGAGGCTGCATATTTAATTGTATAGCATGCTCATGTGCAATTGGTTCGTGGTTCAATTCTCACCAGCGAGTGGTAATAGCTGGAGATTGGCTCATGCATGCCGCTCACTATAAAGTTGACGTTAATGATTCCCGTGGCATCATTCCCAAGAGCAGGCCAAGTGTGAGTCGTTCCATAGTCATAGGCTAGATCTAAATTGCAAATACGATTGCCTTCCCAATCACTGTTCCCCTTTATTCAAGATGTCCGTCCAACATTGAGATAAATTGGTTCGCCACATCCGATTGGCAGGTCGCATGCCGTGGGGTAAAGTGTAGGCATTCCCCCTACTTACAAGACGTCTGGCCAGCATACAAGAGTAGGGGATAAGAATACCCTCTGGAGCAGTGGTACGAGTCACCCCCTGGGGGTACGTGGCAATGTGCCAGGGGGTACGCGAGGTGATTTGTCAGTGTGCGATGTGATATCATGCATGAGAGTTATTTGGGGAATAAATCACGTATGAATCTGCAAAAATAAAATAACTACCATAAAATTGTCATCCATAAGGTAACCTAGAACTATATAAAATACTTTTCTAAACTCATTGATCATAAACAATGTGGTTTCCATGGGTAACCACGCATGGAGAGCGTCCGTTGATTTTTTTTTCGCTTGCAGTACTAGCTCGTGAGGATTACTCACAAAATGGACAACTGGTCAAAATATTGACGTTCATTTTTCGTACATTTATTTCTCAGGACCATGTTGGGCCAGGCAAGGGGGTATACTCGCTTGAAACAAAATTCAACAAGGGTGGGTGGGTGGGTGGGGGGGTACACAGTAGCCAAAAAACGCGGGGAACCACTGCAAGAGAGCCCCTATAAGGGGCTCCTAGAAGGGGGTTCTCTTGCTCACGCCACGGGAAGGAGCTCTGTAGGGCTCCTCTGACGTGAGCAAGATCGAGAGAGCAGGACTGCACCTTCACAGTTCACCCATCAACCCTGGAAGGACGATGGGCTGAATAAACCCTAACAAATTGTGATTTCAACTCGCAAACTTCCTACTGCGTGTCGAGCGTTCATACAACAGAGGCAGCCAAGCGGAGAGACCGTAATGCTTTGTGAATAGCGGGCATCCGTGGCCACGCTTCTTAAAGCAGTTTTGTAGAATCGGATCAAGGTGAATGAGTGCCCGGAGACGTGGCGCAGGATTCAGGGGCACCTCCCCCGGTTTAACAGCGCCGATTGGAATCACCTCGGCGAGGAGCTGTTGCTACACAAAGGTCCTCGGCCCGGTCATGCTTTAACTATCGTTTCTACCATGCCTGGACTCCACGGAGTTGAACAAGAGTTGTGACCTGAATACACGAAGCATGGCTATGCATATACAAAGACGATGATGCCAATAACCACCATTTAGCCTTTTAGACTGCACAGTCTATTTGGGCAAGTGCTGTTGGCGAGTAATTGGGGCAGTGACATGGCCCAATGGTAGCACATTCTAAACTAAACTTGATATTACGAAGTAAGGCCCGCTAAGCTATGTAGCTCCCTTTCACAAGCCAATGGCTCAACGCAGCGGCTTATCATGTGGAAATGTAAAGTGGCCAAACACTCTTAACCACGTATTGATTCTAATTGTGGAGGGATAAACCGGAGGACCCGGGGAAAAATCCACGTGACCACAGGGAAAACATGTAAACTCCAAATATGCAGGCGTCAGGGTCGGGATCGAACCCATAACCTATTGCATACCAGGCGAGGGAGTTAACATCTCGCCACCACAGCACATTCGCCACTCATGAAAGAGGGTCACCGGTCAAATACACCGACTGACCTGATTACACTATGTAACACAATTTTTGTTCCTGTGTAGTAAGTGTTATTTCGTAATTGCTTATGTCTAAAAAGTATAGAAAATGCTTACCTTTCCCGACAAACTTTGCTTTTGTGACCAGGACAGTGATATTTTGATATTTACCTATTTTCAATGAAAAAATGGGCAAATTTGTGTCTTTTCGTTCACATAAAGTCAGAAAAAAACATTGATACAAATTTACATGTATTTATACTAAAGTAATACAAAATATGACTACAAAAGATTTAGAAGTGAGTAGTTTTTCGAGATTTACGATTATACTGAAAATCACTTTCACGAATCAGCTCCCAAATGTTGTCTCACATCATATTCTCGTTATACTGTCCTTGGTAGCGGCATTCAAAGTCCAATATATCCTGGTGGAAACGTTCGCCTTGCTCCTCCTTGAATTTATCAAGATGAGCATCAACAAGGATATGGACTTTGAGGGACATCCTACAGCCCATTGTGCCGTAGTTCTTCACCAGAGTCTCAACCAACTCCACATAGTTTTCGACCTTGTGATTGCCCAGGAAGCCTCGAAGCACGGCGACAAAGCTGTTCCAAGCCGCTTTCTCCTTAATAGTGAGCTTCTTGGGGAATTCATTGCACTCCAGGATTTTCTTTATCTGTGGTCCGACGAAGACACCGGCTTTGACCTTTGCCTCAGACAGCTTAGGGAAGAAGTGTTGAAGGTACTTGAAGGCTGCCAACTCCTTATCTACAGCTCTGACAAACTCTTTCATAAGGCCCAATTTGATGTGCAGTGGTGGCATCAGCACCTCCCGGGGGTCCACCAGTGGCTCCCACTTGACGTTGTTCCTCCCCACAGAGAACTCGGTCCGCTGTGGCCAGTCCCGCTTGTGGCAGTGCGCCTTGGTGTCCCTGCTGTCCCAAAGGTAAAGATAGCAGGGAAACTTGGTAAAACCGCCTTGGAGACCCAACAGGAATGCCACCATTTTGAAGTCTCCGATGACCTCCAAGCCGTACTCATCATAGTTCAAGGCGTCCAGCAAGGTCTTGATGCTGCTGTAATCCTCTTTGAGGTGCACCGAGTGAGCCAGGGGAAGAGACGGGTACTTGTTAC